TTGTTAGGGCTTTAATAGAAAATTGGTGGTTTGGCATCAACCCAACCTTTCTGCTAGTCTTATTCATCATTTACACCAGGGGTCACGTATGTTTTCAGTCAAGTCTTGCCTTTGTAACTTCAGTTCTACCAGGATCTTTGGCCCACACCATGTTCTAGTATTTTTTGACCACGGTTGTGACACCATATTGTGTTATTCCACGACTTGGAAGGATTAACAAAGAAGATAAAAATCAGAACTTAGATCTAGAGTCCTTTTCCTGACTTAAAACAATAGTCATTTTCACCTGATGGTCTAGCACAAGGCCTTCTGTTTATAGTAACACTTTCTGGAATGCCAAAATACTCATCTGTAGCACAAAGGAAGACATTCATAGGCTACCTACACCCTTGCTAATTTTCTATTACCAAATCACCTTGATTCTTCAATGTTCTGTCTTGGCTCAATCCTGTGTCCTATAAACAGCATTTATCTAATTTAATAACTTATTAGTTTGGGCATTCTTAGTCTGGCCCAACTACTGCCACCCCAGCACTGAGGGTGGAAGGGAATGGCATGATGGAAATGTGAAGGCACAATGTCTGGTTAACACACTGACTATTAACCTGTTGGTGTGACATTGGCATTCATTCCCAGGAATGCTAAATACCTTGTGCAAACAACTTGCCCAACAGGCCAGATATAACGTGTTGACAAGCAGCAGTGGCAGCTGAGTCTCAGTTCTAACAAAATTCTTCTTAATAGAAGTCATGGATATTGACCCAAGAGCTGTCGCTGACCAGATCTACCATTTTCTTTTGAGTCATTTAAACTTTATGGACCTTAGCTTTTTCATCAGAAAACTGAGCTACATAACATTGTTTAATTTTGTATTGTATTTAAATTATTGTATTTATATGATTATATTTATATTTATCAAATATATTTCATTATATTTATCCAATATTTTCATCTATCCTACACACCTACATTTTTGGAAAAACCTTGTTATTTTACGGCTCTTTAAGGCACTTAAAATACAGCTATGAGTTCCTTAATCTCCTAAATATAAAGGAAACATGTTTGAAAACCCCTCCTCCTATATCTAGTCAAGACTCCATAGACCACCTGTCAATCAAAGCATATCAGGAGTTCCACAATATAACAGTTTCTTTAAAAGTTCTCAGGTGGAGCCCCTGGGTGGCTCAGTGGGTTAAATCCTCTGCCTTCGGCTCAGGTCATGATCCAGGGTCCTGGGATCGAGCCCCGCATCAGGCTCTCTGCTTAGCAGGGAGCCTGCTTCCTCCTATCTCTCTCTCTTTCTGCCTGCCTCTCTGCCTACTTATGATCTCTGTCAAATAAATAAATAAAATTTTTTTAAAAAGTTCTCTGGAAACTAAAATAAATGTGGGTAATTTAGATTGGGTAATTAAGAAGGCTGAAATATATGATTCTTGACTTGAATCAAGGAATAGTGACTCAGAGAGTAATACATAAACAAACAAAAATATCAGGGGAAAATCTATAAGAGACATTTTTCATTCAGAGCTAGTATCATGAGCCACACAGGAAGAACTGAGACACAGAGGCAAAAGGAGAAATGCAAATATCTTCCAGCTCTATCTGAAAAGGAAAGCTTTATGGAGTAAACTAAGAAAGGCATAGCATATGCATTTCTATGGACCTATGGAATTAAGTGTGGACTTAACTCTACCCTACATGTCTAAAACCCAAAGGAATAAATAATTAAGACCTATGAACAAAAAGATTAGTGGTTGGGTTGTGGGTATGTAACTTTGCTTAAAGCAGGTTATGCATATGAAGAATCAAAGAAGGAACACTAATAGCTAATGTTTTCTTCTTCCTTCTTACATATCACTAATTAAAGACCAGGAATCTATTATGACATCCTTAAAACATCTTTCTCACTGCCTAACACTCAGAACAAAGTCAGTCAGATGGCGTGGTAGCCAGCCTCCAAGATGGCTACCAAGGATTCCTGCCATCTGGTATTGACAACCTTGTGCAGTCTGATCCCACACTGTACCAGCGTTGGTCTATGTGACTAGCAGCATCTGCCAGAAGACATACTAAGACGGTGTATCACTGCTAAAATTAGGTCACGAGAAAGACAGCTACTTCTGTCTTGGGCTGGCTGTCTTGCATGCATGTCCTTCTCACTCCCTTCTCCCCTCTCTCTCTGGACAGCAAGCTGCCATGTTGTGAGCAGCCCAATGGCATAGAACTGATTCTTCCAGTCATTAACCACTGAGAAATAACAGCCAGTGAGACCAACCGGCAATGACATGATCCATCTTAGAAGAGAATTCTGTAGCTGCAGTGCAGCCCTGATATGACTGAAAAACACAGCTACACTATAACCTCAGGAGAAACCTTGAGCCAGAAGCACCTAGTTAATTAACTTCCATATTCCTTACCTGGAGAAAGCGTGTGAGATAAAAATTGTTTGCCATTTCAAACTGCTAAAATTTAGTATAATTTATTCCACAACAATAGATAACTAATGCAGATGGCAAGATCTGGGATATAAAATATTCTGTTTAAAAGCCAGCAAATCAAATACTCTAATACTCTATATTTTAGTGTTCTCAGAAATTAGGCAGGCAAACCAATTTAAAGTTTTGTATAGTCAGGAGTGCTGGGTGGCTCAGTTGGTTAAGCATCTGACTTAGCTGAGGTCATAATCTCGGGGTCCTGGGATCGAGCCCCATGAGGAATCTCCTTGTTCCTTTCTCTCTCCCTCTGCCCCTCCCAACGCTCATGCTCACGCACTCTCTCTCTCTCTCAATAAGTAAAATCTTAAAAATAAAAAAATTAAATTTAATTTAAAAAGAAGTTTTATATAATCATGCAAGCTTGGATTTTTCCTTTAAGTCAAAGACTACTGGGGAAAAAATTGTGTGAATAAATGTTGGCTGTAAAATCCACTTTATAATTTTAAGAAACTTCAGCATTTTAAATTCCTTCTTTATTTTACTTTTTTCACTACAGTCCCAGTTTCAGCTTCACTGAAAACCCAGAGCAGGTAGAAGGAAAAAAGAAGTATTTGAAAGCAGAGATAATCTTCTTTCATTTGTAAAAGAGCAGCTTGAAGACTGCCTAAATTGGAGATAATGGTTTATATGAATTGTGTGAGAGGCAGCATTAATTTGTTGTCATTAGCATCATTATTAAAACTGTAGCTAAACACTCACCATGTGTTATACAGGGCACATTAGCTATATAAAATACATCATTGGTGCCCTCTGGGAACAGATCAGAAAAGTTCAAAGCTGTGAGTTCCCATTGATACTTGAAAAAAACTGGATTGCACTATATCAATTTATAACTACGCAATGTAGGACTTATTAGATGAGCTAATCTTACTTTAAAAACTATACCTTAATAAATAAAAATTAGCTCTGAGGTTAAAGAAATTGAAGCAGAAGTTATAAGAGAAATTCATCAAATTGTAGTTAACCCAAAATTTTCCTTTATCCTTGACCTCATTTCATTGATTTCAGAAATTAAGGAGCTGGCTTCCCCTCATTTTCTGTTATTTCCCCATCCTGGATAGGAATTATCAGACTGACCCTTGCAGTTCTAGCAAGCCAGCAGCATTTAAGAGAAGGGGAGAAAAGACATCTGGCAGATCTTCAACTTGTTTCTAAGTCTGCTTGTTCCTGCCTCTCCTGCTGTTTCTTCTGCTTCTGAAAATATGATTAATATCTTTGAATTTATAAAACTCTGCATTGTAAACAAGGCTGAGGGCTTTCCAACCCAAAGAGGTTGAGGTATGGAGTTAATGAGAAGTGAGGCTGTGGGGAATGAACGGAAAGATGCCAATGTTAAAGTAATTGAGCATGAATATCAAACACTGACTTGGGAACAGTCTTCATTTGCTGATGGAGAATCTGATCAGCTGGTGGGCAGAGGGAACATGCCCAGATCTGCATTCACTGCCAGCCCCAGAATTTCCAAATCATAACAGCCTATGCATTACACACTTGGTATCTCTGTGTCGCCATTTAGAATCATGTTTTCCCTTTTTTCCTTCCTTTCCTCCTCCTCTCCTTTCTTTCCTTCCTATGAAAGTTTCACTCCCTTTCTTCTTTCTGATTTATCTCACTCATCCCCATGCCTTATAAAGAATTAAAATTTTTATCTCAGTAACTGCAGTTTCTTTTACAAGTGTGTGCGATTTGCTAATACCAGTTCAGAAGAATACAGATGATGGTGTTGTGGCTGAATTGCTGAGCTATAATTTTTATCTAAAAAACTCTGCATTGTCCTCTAAAACCAGTAAAAGCTTAAATTATTAATTACTGTAATACACTCCTATGTGTCTTCTACCATTCTTAATTGGATCATATGTGCATTCTTTGTAGCAGTAAGGATCTCTGGGAGGTTTGCACAATAGTGATAAAATGAACACCCTAATAAGTGGTATGTCATTATTAATTTCAAGTTGTAATGAATAGTTTTATTCAGAACAGGGTAATGACAGTTTTAAGAAAACTAAAATTAAAGAAAAAAACTGGTTCTCAAATTTTGGGGACACATAATTATGCATTTTGATAAACATTCATTTACAAGTCTGTTTATTAGTTTACAATGCAAAAAATAGACAACACTTAAAAACAAGTCAACTGGGAACTGGTTAAATTAAATACAGTGTATACATTAAATGAAATTAAAAATGACTTTTGAAAAATATATATTAACTAACGAGGTTGTAGGCAGTAACAGTATATTATTAAATAAGCCTATATAAACTCATTTAAAATACATATGCATGAAGGACTAAGTATTAATGAATATCTGATGGTGAAAGAATTACTAAGCCTGTGTTTCTACTTGTCATTTTCTAAATCCTATTTCAATGTGTATTACAATTGCTATAAAATATTTTTAATAAGCAAAGAGTTTCTAAATCCCTACACATACACCAAGAAAGCCAGAAAGAACATAAGAAAGGCAATCATATGTGAGATCTTAAATATAAAGTGTTTACAGTTTACCTTGACAGCATAATATTCTTTAACTTCAGGCCTAATAGAATCAAAGTCTCCACTGATGAATTCAGGCAAAAAGCTGAAACAAAGAATTCCAAGTAAGTCAACTAATTAAGACTACTTGTTTGTTAACCTTTAAAACTACGCCAAGAGGATGTCTTAACACGCTTGGTTTCCATACAGTATGGTTAAGAGTAACTCCACACACCCAACTAATACATGAAACTAGTCACACTGTCAGTCAAAGTTTATCCTGCTTTAAAAAAAAAAAAAAAAAAAAAAGGATTATTGGTTTAAAAAAACTCCCAGTTCAAAGGCACCTGGGTGGCTCAGTTACTTAAGTGTCTGCCTTCAGCTCAGGTCATGATCTTGGGCTCCTGGGATCGAGCCCCACATCAGGCTCCCTGCTCAGCAAGGAGTCTGCTTCTCCCTCTCTCTTCGCCCCTCCCCTCTGCTCAATCTCTCTCTGTCTCGTTCTCTCTCAAATAAATCTTTTAAAAAAATAAATACAATAAACTCCCAGCTCAAAAACCCTAAAACCTTTCAATATTACTTTCTACGTATATAAAAACCTTTACACTATTGTGCCTCACACAAGCTCAGAACTTGAACGAGTTTGAACAGAACACGTGAGGAGGAGGATTACTCATTCTCTGCAGAGCAGGAGTCAGTTCAAAGACATTTTCTAGATGCCCTGTTGGCATACTTCTAGAAACAGGAGGCTTCTAGACAGGTTTGAAATACTACACAAATCACTAGGGAGAGGGAGAGAACTCCCCCAAACGAATGTTTCTAATTACATAATTGTCTCATTTCTCTTCCCTACATTTATATTTTTTTAGAACTCTTCCAGAAAGCCTATCTTACTCTATGTATATAAGCCATCCTTAACTATTTTTACATAAAACATTTGCATGACCTGGTAGGATTTCTTCCAACTTAAAACTAAGTGTGGAAAAATGAAAGTTTCCTGGATTTCTCAGTGCTCCTACAAAAAGCCTTAGCCTCCAGAGCCTCTGAAAAATATATTATGTAAAGAAGGGAATGTTTGCCTTCATCCTCCAGAAATATTCTACTTTTCCCATCCCATAAGAATTAGCTCTGCAGGTGTTTATTTACCTGTTAACTGTTCTGATTCAAAAGAATAATAAAACCTCAAATATGTCTCCTCAAGAGGGCCATGTTGCTACATAATAGACTAGATCCCTAGCTAAAAGGAGACTAGAGCTTTAGTTCGCTGAGTATTACATGTCAAGAGCTGAAGCCCCAGAACTTGGGTGCCTCTCTAAGTCATAAAAGTCAAGACAGAGAAGCTCTTGGCTCCTAGAGATTCCTGATATACCAATGGGTTTGGGTTAGGATTCAGGGTCATAGAATTTCCAGAGACTTTTGCAAGAGGACAGAAGCTGCCACAACCCACTTAATACATTTAGGGGGAAAAATCCTATTTCCTCTTCTTTCACATATGAATGCTGCAGCTACAAGCACAGGACAATGGACCTGGCTGTCACTGCAGGGCCAAAGGGTAAGAACAAGAGCAATGGGGACCGAGGTATTACGAAACTAGACTCAGAACTCCTTATACACTCACTCAGGATAAAATTAATAAAGACGAACATGAAAAACCCAATACTAACTCTGTTCTTTCATGCAATTTTTTTTTTTTTTTTTCAAATTTTGACCTTAACTGGAAGTATTACTTCTTGGGTCTAACCTAATCTAACTAATCTATGTTAGACCAACTCTTCTTTGGGCTCTAGGTAATGGTAGGACAGGTAAACCTAGGACAAATGGTAAGAAGTTCTACTATAATGATCTGTACCGCTTGACGTGCTCAGATTTCATGGTCGGTTTGTTAACCAATGATAGTAACCTATTAAAATGTCTGGTAATTAATAAAATTGTAACATTCACTGAATATCAACCATGTACAAAAGACCATAGTTTATCTCAGAATAAAGCAGAATTGGGAAGTACCTAAGTTTTTAAATCACTTGCCTGGTTTCAATATCTTCCTGTAAACTCTTCTCCTCAAAACATCCCTGGCCACATATCAATTACTTCTAATTTCATTTTATACCTATCAAGGTAAATACTTTTTACTCTATCCACATGAGGACTAAAAATAGACTATTAGCTCTTTCCTGTTTTTCCTGTTGTAAAAATTCATGAATTTCTTTAAGTTTCATTAAAATACCTCCATCAAAACAAGACGGGATCAGGAGGGAGACAAACCATAAGAGACTCTTAAACTCACGAAACAAACTGAGGATTGCTGGAGTTGGGGGGTAGGGAGAGGGTGGCTGGGTTATGGACATTGGGGAAGGTGTGTGCCATGGTGAGTGCTGTGAAATGTGTAAGCGTGATGATTCACAGACTTGTACCCCTGGGGCAAATAATACGTTACATATTAATTTTAAAAGAATAAAATATATATCAAAAGCAAAACAACAACAACAACAACAAAAACCTCCATCAAACAACATTCAAACACCCATAGAACAAAACTCAGACAGATCTCAGAATATTATTGCTTGCTAGGGTCTGAATGTTTGTGTACCCCTAAAATGGATATGTTGAAATCTTAACCCCTAATATGATGTTGTTAGGTGGTGAGGCTTTTAGGAGTTGACTAAGTTAGAAGGGTGGTGCTCTTGTGACTGGGATTAGTGCCCATCTAAAAGAACCACCCCCCATCCCCAGCCCCGCTCTCTTGTCCCTTCCACCACATCAGGACACAGTGAGAAGACAGGCATCTATGAACCAGAGGGAGTGGATCTTATCACACACTGAATCTTGATCTTGGACTTCCCAGCCTCCTCAACTATGAGTAATAAGTACTTGTTGTTTACAACCCATCCAGGCCATGGGATTCTCTGGAGCAGCCAGTGAGGATGAGGCATTGCTGGACGGGGTAAAAGGAATTCCTCCAATATCCTCATTATCCTTTGTAAGAAACGGAGATCCAAGAAGCCAAGTGAATTCTGTATGTACAGCTAGTATCCAATCTATTTCACCATGTAAAGCAGCCATTCAAACTTAGGACTCTGGTTCTGTGCAGTATGAGTCACCCAACTTCCTCATAAAACTGACTTAATATTGCTCCACAAATTTTAGTCCCTCAGATATCTAGAATCAATTTGCCAGTTTCCAAATATCATATTGATTTTGACAATAAATAAAAATGAAAAATAAAAACTGATACACACAAGCAACTAGTGTCTGTCCCCTTAGGATATATAATTTTAAACAGAATTAGATCTCTTTTTATCTCATACTGTGAATCATGAAGGAAAGCAATCATATAAATTTACTTATATTTTCATATAAAATATTAATAGGAAAACAAACATATTGATAAAAGATAACTTCTATTAACTTTTTAAATATAATCTTCTCCTATATAACATACATGCTTTAAAAATGAACAAGGAAAGGGGCGCCTGGGTGGCTCAGTGGGTTAAGCCTCTGCCTTCGGCTCAGGTCATGGTCTTAGGGTCCTGGGATCGAGCCCCGCATCAGGCTCTCGGCTCGGTGGTGAGCCTGCTTCCCCCTCTCTCTGCCTGCCTCTCTGCCTACTTGTGATCTCTCTCTCTCTCTCTCTCTGTCAAATAAATAAATAAAATAAAATAAAAATGAACAAGGAAAGAAAATGAACAGGGATACTTACTGCTAAGTAGGTTCATCCCAAATATACACCTGATACACAGGCTGAGATGACTACAATAATTATAACTTTTTGTCATATAATAAAGTAGTTTTGGAAACTTCCTGAAATGTGTTTTTGGACAGAGCAATTAAAAGCCCAGCTCACATTTTGGAGGCATCGGTTGCCATGGTACTCCGGCATTCTGAAGAGGTACTTACTGGGGATGACGCTTCATAGATACAGAGGTACAATGTTACATTATAAAGAGTTTACGCAGGAAGATTGTTTTCACAACTCTTTGGAGACTGACTGCTTATAGCAAGTGACCAAACGTATAAGGAATTCTTGTCTCCACTGACCATACTTCTGTACACTGTTGGCATCGATCAGACCAGTATACCTCATCTTGCTATCCTCGATCTAATGGCACTGATTGGCTGGTACTAAAAGGTGTTCCAAACGCTCAATAAATGGTGTGGACTCCCTTGATTTTTACATTTAACTCTTACCATACTTGCCACTCACTAATGACAAAATAAAAGTTCAACAAGAGCCAAGATAATCAGTGAGCTAAAGATCCATTGCATGTAATAGTCAAGAGGGAGGCTGATATATTTAGAAAATGTGCCTAAACATGATGTGTGAGCACCGAGCACACAAATGCTGGTAATACAGTAAAGTAACAAGGTAGAGGAGAAGGCAATGGGTGGGAATGGGGAGGAAATGAGAAGAAGAGGGGGCAGAATGGGGAAAGGTGGTTGGAAAAGGGGGAGAAGGGAAGAATACTGAAGGGGAGGGGATGGGAGGGAATAGAGAGGAGAAGATGGGAAAATGGTAAAAGGGGAAGAGAAAGGCCAGGAGAAGGAAGGCAGAGGAAGACAAGAGTGGGAAAGAAGCACTTATTACAAACTTCCTATTACGCCTCACCACTACTTCCTAGCTTGCCCAAAATATTGAACTATTCTGAGCCTCACTTCTTCACATGTAAAATGAAAACAATTTAGAGTGGTTTTTAAGATTAAGAGTTAATCCATGTAAAGCACTTAGAAAATGCCTGGCACACAGTAAGCACGATTTTGAGCTCTTCAGCTAAAATAAAAGTTATTACTAGAGAAATAAGTAACGTGCCTGAGGTTACAAGGCTAGTAAGAGCTAGAGCCAAAATTCAAACCCAGGGAGCCTAATCTTTGTTGTTGGACAGCTAAGTCTACAGCCTTCCACATATGCACATTTATGAAATGGAGCCAGACTTTGTCATGGAGAAAGTTCTCTATACAACCACACGACTCCCTTGCAGATTTTAGTAATCAGTGTTAATTTGGTCAACTGTTTATTTTAGAAACGTATTGGCGAAGCAGAAGAGGACAATTTGTGCTGCTTGCTATAGAGTAAAGATGGGATTTGATTAAAAGAATAGGTTAGGAGGAGAA